TTTTCAACCAGAGGTGCCACTTCTGCGCATGCGCATGGCGTGGTAGAGCGCTTGTGCACATGCTCGTGGCACATAGAGTGCTTCTGTGCATGACTGCGTGTTGAAACCCGGAAAAATACTTCCGGGTTTGCCGCGTTCACGTCCTGAAGGATACACAACCAGAGGTGTGCGTATCCAGAGGTACCACTGTATTTTCTATTCTCCATACCCAGCTCCTCCATGGTCCACAGAAACTTCATTCTTCCTTTCTTTAAACCAGGCATCCCTAAACTCGGGCCTCCAGATGTTTTGGGATGACAATTCCCATCATCCCTGACCACTGGTCCTGTTAGGGATGATGGGAGTTGTAGACCCAAAACATCTGGAGGGCCGAGTTAGGGGATGCCTGCTTTAAACCATCTGCAGATGTTCAAGGGCAGTGGAAGATGTTCAAGTGTGCCCATTCTTGTGCTCAAGTGCCTTTGTCCCCCACTCCCTGCCCCACTCCCGCTTCCTTCCAGCCAGTCAGCCAGATTATTCACATTGTCAGCTTCAACTCAGGGTTGATCTGTGGTACGCTTCTTACCTGTAGACTGCAAACATAATAAAATAATGCAGTTTATCTACCACAAGGACTGAACTTGTAGGATTCTATCCCATTACATGCTTGTGGTTTCCACCATTAATCTAGATTTGTGCCATTTCCCCCTTAGACTAGGTTTGACAACGTGTTGCGGGACAGTCAGCCCTCTGGTTGACCAACGTACTTGTGACCTGGTTCTCAATCCGATTCTATTTTCCCTTCTCCCAATAGAATTAATGTATATGTTGAGCGGGGAGGGTTTCCAGCTCCACTCACCTTCTCTCCTGTCCATTTATTTTTCCTTTGGAATCCTAGGAATACAGTTAGGTTCTCGAGTGATGTCTATTCATTTCGGCTAGGTATATAAAGGAGAAAGGGGGGGGGAGTTCAAATGAATCAGATGCAAATAAAATAAAATAAATCACTGTCTCACATTTTTTATACTTTCTGATTAGTTCTTATAACTAATTTTTAGCTATTTATACCAATGGCTTGTTTTTAAGGGGAGGTGTTTTAAAATCAAAGTGCACAGATAGACCTCTTAAAGGCAAATGGAGTTATTCCAAATACCATGCGTTTTTTCACACACACCCTTCCTTCCCCTTCCCCCTCTCCCTCAGTTCTGCTGTCATATGGATTATATATGTTTCTCTCTGTCAAGGGTTAACTTTCTTTCTGCAAATGTGAGCTACAAAAGCTCTGCAGACCTCCACCTTGATATGATTCCTAACAGATTAGGGATATTAGATAATTTCCTTCTATTTATTGTTCTAGTGTGCTGTATTATCTTTCTATCACTCAGATAATTACTAAGGAAATCTACATTAATTTTTTTTTTTTTTTTTGGCTGGCTTAAGGAATAGCTAAACATTGGCACGATGCATTGATATTTTACGGAACCAAAGTTTTCCTCGTGTCATTGTACAATAAATAAAAAGATATTTATCAAAACTGCAAAGGCATTTTCTATGGTTTTAGAAGAACAAAGCAAATAAAATACAAGATGAGCAGAACCTAAAGGCTTCCTTAAGTGAAACAAAATTAAGGACTCTGAAGCCTTGAGTACTGTACATATTAAACGCATTCAAATAAGATGTTGTTTGCTAAATTATGAATGTGTGTAATTAAAATCTAGTGGCTGTTTCTATGAAAGATTTACAATGTTATTTCATCGTTTGTCATGGCTAATTAACAATATTAGATGAAGTTTTTCTTCTTCAAAGGTCTGATTTTTTTCTCATTTATTTATGTCAGAAGTGATAAACAGAGTAGTTAAAAGCTTCTCTGGGTGCAGCAGTGAAAAAGCAACATGTTCTTTTACACCTCAGAGGTTCAGGGTTCAGATCCCAGTGGAATATAGCAACTTAGTCTTCTTCTGAGTGTGAATAATTCTCCTCCTCCCCAAGCATTGAAGTTAAAAAAAAAAAAATTAAGTGGAATAACACAGGAGAGAGAACTGTGAATTGATTGATTGCATGACAGAGAGAGCTACTATGCAAAATGCAATAAATTAGCCAATTGGAGCCTTAATAGCTGAGACAATTCTTTAATAAGTAAATAGAGCATAGCGTGGGGTTATTTTTCATTAAAATTAAGTGTATATGATATGTTGGCGTAATGCTGCTTTCTGCGCTTTGACTTTTCAGCGCCAAAGTTCACAAGAACTTCACTGTCAACAAGGTTGTGAGCTATCAACTGCATCTTGTAAAAAAGATATAAGAATACAATTCCATTGTTGCATTCTCTCCCCCCCCCTGCCCCACTATAGAAGAATCCTGTCCAATTTAAACATAACACCAGACATTCCTGTGCAGTCTGCTTTAGCAGTGAAGAACCTTCCCAAGCCACGCATGGCATACGTACATGCCAGTTTGGCACAAAGCTGGAAGAAGTAGGGTGTCAATCACACAGACTTTATTTTTATTTTAACATGTTCATCGTTGCATTTATTTGTCAGGATAAAATCCATACAGATTTTGCGTGAATGATCTATAAGTCATACAGTCAGATTTTGGACAGAATTCAAAGAACTATATGGGGTGTGCCCAGAGGAATTGTTTACTCTTTCTCTTTAATACTCTTCAGACATCAAACTAAACCATAACTTCAACATGACAAGATTGAGCCACCCCACCCGACGCAAGGAAGAGCTTAGGAGCTTTCGCTTCCATTTGTACTTAACCACAGACTGTTGAGGCACCCAAACTGACAAACTGTGGTTAACACCAACTATGGTTTGTTTGGTAGAAGCCGGGTTACAGCTTGTGTTGAAAATTTAGCAAGCTGGAGAATTATTTTTTTAACAGGAGAGTGGACAGGATGGGTGCAGGCCTTTTTGAAATCTTCTCTATGGCCAGCAATAAAGATTGTCCAGACTTTTTAATCTAAGGGGAAAGGTGATGGTGGTGGTGATATTATTATTATTATTAATAATAATAATAATAATAATAATAATAATACATCTATTTATACCCCGCCAATCTGGCTGGGTTTTCCCAGCCACTCTGGGCGGCTTCCAACAAAATATTAAAAATACATTAAAACAACAAAAGGGGGCTTCACAGAGAAAGAGAATTGAGGGAGCAGAGTGCCTTTGGCTAGGAAACTGTAGCCTCTCCCATCCCTACACTTGGAACGAAGAAGTTTGCCTCTGAGATTGTTGTTTAGTCGTTTAGTCGTGTCCGACTCTTCGTGACCCCATGGACCAGAGCACGCCAGGCACCTCTGTCCTCCACTACTTCCCGCAGTTTGGTCAAACTCATGCTGGAAACCTCGAAAACACTATCTTACCATCTCATCCTCTGTCGCCCCCTTCTCCTTGTGCCCTCCATCTTTCCCAGCATCAGTGTCTTCTCCAGGGAGTCTTCTCTTCTCATGAGGTGGCCAAAGTACTGGAGCCTCAGCTTCACGATCTGTCCTTCCAGTGAGCACTCAGGGCTGATTTCCTTCAGAATGGATGCGTTTGATCTTCTTGCAGTCCATGGGACTCTGCCCCCCATATATTCATGAGCAACTTCAGCCTGTGTTCTCTCTTCATATATGTTTGAAAATAGGAAGCACACCTATAGGGCAGTGGTATCCCAGACAGATCAGCACCTTGAAAAAGACTGTGCTGCTCCTCCCACCTTTCTTAGCAAATATTACATTATTTTTTCCCCCATAACAACCCCCCTGCTGCCTCCCGCTTTCCTGTCATAGGGAAGACAACGCTTAGAATTAAGGAACAAGGTGTCTGTGTGCACATGCTCAGCTTGTGATGTGTTTTCAGCGTCAATGCTAAATCCACAGTTCTTCTACTCCACACCCAGACACAAACGCTTGTCATCCCCACCCCACCCAATTTGCAAAGCAAACTTTCGTTAATGTCTTTATGACTGGGTTATATTGAAATATACTATCAGAGTGAGGGATAATGGCTGGGGCTGCAAAAATTTGTTAGCTGCAGCCTCATTTTGGGATGGAGTTTTCTGCAAATCTCAGTGTTGAACTTAACCTGCACAGATTCCCCCCCCAACACCCATCTCGCGCCTTGATCTTCATGAGAAGCATGTTTATGTTTTTACCAGTTCCTCTAAAAATGCAAACACTTCTTTCATTTTATGCTTTATTCTATGTATAATATTATACAAATATACCCTTATATTTTCCTAAGGTAATCAGCACATAAATACATGCAACAATACATAGTGTGTTGCTTAGTATTTTATTAATAATTGTAATACGTGTTTTTGCATATACAAGGAACCCTTGGTACCAAACCCCCACATAAGATGCAATGGTACTGTACTGATCAGAGAAGGGAGAGGCTGAATATGGTACATACAGCCCTGCCCCCTGCAAGCCTACCAATCAGAATATGGTTTTCTAGAAAAGTGAGAAGTATCCTTTGTGGGTTCCATTCAGTGCTATGGAACATAGACTCTGTCTTCCAAAAACCCAGTCCAAGTTTTTCTGGTAGACTAAATTTAGATACTGTAATGCAACCTCCCTCTGGGCATCAGGCCACTGGACACTCTTTACATGTCAAGATCAGGTACCTTCTCTCCCTGAATGTAATGGTTTCTTGGAAACTGATTATACAGCAGGCCTGCGCTGCTGGACTCACCAAGCTGAATGTGGCCTACCAACTGTGAAATGTAGCTGGCCGTGTGCTTGACATCTCCCTTGGTTTTACATGTGTAAGGGGCAGTAAAATCAGCATTTATCAAGTCCTTGGTATGCAGTCAGATTTAGCTAGTGGGACCCAAGTTGTGCAGGTCTGCTTTGCAGCAATAAGTATATGTTCTGCTACAGGGCCTTTTCGGTGGTGGTGCTCTGGTTATGGGATTCTCTCCCCACACAGAATTGTTTCCAGCCATTGTTACTGACGAAACGTTCACTTGGCACTATGTTGGATTCCACCCATAATTTCTTTTTTCCCCCTTCTTTTGTTTCACAGCCCCAGCAGCAACAGGTGACGTCACAGCAGTTGGCCTTTCAGCAGCAGCTTTTGCAGATGCAACAACTGCAGCAACAGCACCTCCTGTCTTTGCAGCGCCAGGGTCTGCTGACGATTCAGCCTGGCCAGCCTACCTTGCCATTGCAGCCACTTGCTCAAGGTATGTGTGGCGTGTTGAGGACTGCTGCCTTGTGAAATGAGGCTTTCACAGGCTTCACACTAATCTGACAAATCTATCCAGCGCTAGAGAAATGCCGTATTTTTTGCTCTATAAGACGCACCAGACCATAAGACGCACCTAGTTTTTGGAGAAGGAAAACAAGGGGGGGGGGATTCTGAATCCCAGAAGCCAGAACAGCAAGAGGGATCGCTGCACAGCGAAAGCAGCGATCCCTCTTGCTGTTCTGGCTTCTGGGATAGCTGCGCAGCCTGCATTCGCTCCATAAGACGCACACACATTTCCCCTTACTTTTTAGGAGAGAAAAAGTGAGTCTTCTAGAGCAAAAAATACGGTATATAATACTGGGAAAACACTTCTGAGTGTCTTGCGTTTTTCTACTTAATGGATGGATCTACTTCTTGGAGAATTAGGTTTAGGTTCCTTGTCCTAATGAAACCTCCAAAACTGAATTTCAGGCCTTAGGAATCTATCAAGTCTGTGTTATAACAGCTTTATTTTGTGCAGCAGGTAAGTGATGGTTGATACCGGGGAATAGTTGAACTGATGCTTTCCAGCCCAATTAGCTTTGTAAGAATATGCAACCTTAAAAGCATATGTTGTTGTTTAGTCGTGTCCGACTCTTCGTGACCCCATGGACCAGAGCACGCCAGGCACTCCTGTCTTCCACTGCCTCCCGCAGCTTGGTCAGACTCATGCTGGTAGCTTCAAGAACACTATCCAACCATCTCATCCTCTGTCGTCCCCTTCTCCTTGTCCCCTTATAAAAGCATATAAGAAAAGTTAAAAGTTACGCAGATGAAGAGTTCTGTGTAACTTGAAAGCTTTTACGCTCTTAAAGAAGAAGAAAATTGGAAATAAAATGTAGTATCTCTACTTCATATTGTTTGGATGTCTTGAACATAGCGTGTTGCTGTGAGGCTGTGTGTGCATCTTACAGCAATGTAATGGGCAGAAATCAGGAACTGACACTTTTCACAGCATATCACCGCACTTTCTACATTCACATATAGACAGCACTCAAATTGCAGGCAGAAATATCAGGGGGACCTTAATGAAATCCATCTCCTGACACCCATTGAATTTAGCCAAAACATGCCTCCTGCAATCTTCTGAAAACAGTAGCTATGTGGGCTATCAGAGAAAGAATTGCTGTGACTCCCCCACCTCCGTAATTGAGTACAGTGGTACCTCTGGTTACAAACTTAATTCGTTCCGGAGGTCCGTTCTTAACCTGAAACCATTCTTAACCTGAGGGTACCACTTTAGCTAATGGGGCCTCCCTCTGCCACCGCCGCACGATTTCTGTTCTCATCCTGAGGTAAAGTTCTTAACCCGAGGTACTGCTTCCGGGTTAGCAGTGTTTGTAACCCGAAGTGTTTTTAACCCGAGATACCACTGTACAAGTGATAGACTTTCTTCCTCCTTCCCCCACTTTACTGCCCAAAATACCTGTTCAGTTGTTTCTGGGTACATAGCAGAAGAGATTTGAGAGCAACCTTCTTGCTCATATATTATTTTTTCTGTTTCTCCTCTGGAGAAAATTAATTAACTGAATCACGATGTCTTGCATTTATCTGAACACGTGGTCTCTCAGTGCACTTGTTACCTTTTTCCTGCACTGAGGTCAATGGAGGGAGCATGCTTTTGATTTCTTTCCTGATAGAATCCTACATGCCAGGTAATGACTGAACAGGCTCAAATACTTAGTGGTTTTTAAGGGTTGGTGCTCCAAACTCCCGCTGTTCCTGAGAGAGGTTGAGACTACTGGGAAATTTACTTGGCACATTATGGACAATATGGATGAGTAAGAAAAAATAAAGTAAAAACCCTAGGGGGGAAAAGCAGGAGAAGGCATGCAGACTATTGCCGGTTTTGTACATGTAAAAAAATTACAGCACAAGTTAATTATACCTCCAGATTTATTGGTAAGAAACATCACAAGCTGTTCTTGCATACCCACCCCTGGACTCAGGCTTCAGCCTTCCAAATTTTTTCCCACAGTTTCTATACTGTTAAGTTTGCTTGGTGATGCTCATTGTATATAGTACATCAGTTAAGCTGTCCAAAAGAGGGCAATTGGGCAGTGACAAGACACGGTCATGTGTAATGTGAAAGAAATGAATGTGGTGATGCATGAAGTGTAATCTGCGCAGCAACACATCAGAGACACCAGTAGGTAATTCAGCAGTCGGGGGCATTGATTGATAGGCTTCGCAGTGTAGTATAACTATTAATTCCTATCACATTAGGAGGAAGCATATTTAAAAGGGGGTGAGCACTGGAGATCAAGCAAACACAAAACAAAGGCAGTTTGGGTTGTGTTGGTGGCTAATTTCAGTTATGTTATTATTCCCCTCCCCCCTTTCACACTATTATGATTCTGGGGTGCTGTTGTGTTGTGGAAAAGACAGGGGGAAAGGTAACTTGAGAATTCAGACAGGTCAGAATGCAACACATTCCTTTCCTTTATTGGAGAGATCTGATAGCTAAAAACTGATGTCGTTACGAGGTTTAAATCAACTTTCTGCTTGCTTGAACATGGTCACCTGGGTATGGAGGTACAAGGACAAAAAGAGGTTGAGCAACTCAAGTTGTCTTTGAGCCAGTGAGTACCTGGGGTTGGAAAATCGAGTTCCAAGAACAGTAATCTGTCAGCTGTCCCCACAACATACATTTTTTAAGCCTTTGCCTGCATTTTCTTCTATAATGAAGAAGATACTTCTCCCACGGAAAAAAAAATGCAACGAAGAAGAGTGTGAAAGTTCCAGTCTGTAATAATAATTGGCAATGAACGCTTAAAGTATAGACATCCTTTTTGTAACTGGCAACTGTTTTAAAGTACAAAAAGAATCTTTTACTAGATGGAAGTACATTTGTTCTTAAAAATACAAGCCATTCAATCCGTTTCTGCATTTTAGAGGTGAAATTATATTGGTAAATATGACAAAAACAACTACAAATGATGCAGCATTTCTTGCTTGTTTCAAATAGCTCTGAAGCAAAACATTTAAAAAGTTTTAATCAATTACAATCCATTGCTTTGCAATAAAACAGCATCTATAACATTGAAACATTTGTGTAATCACTCCTGCCCTTACATTCAAATGCATCAATAATCTAGTCTGTACTCAGCATCAGCTGTAAAGCAAACTTCATTTAAGAAGCATCCTAAACAACCAAACCTAGAACACCAGAACTACACAATACCAAAATAGAAGTTACTCTGATTCTAATCTCAGTGGACCTCATTTTCAAGGAAACATATTAGGATTTGGAAAGTCGGCAGTTCAAATCCCCAGGATGGAGTGAGCTCCTGTTGCTCTGTCCCAGCTCCTGCCAACCTAGCAGTTCGAAAGCACACCAGTGCAAGTAGATAAATAGGTACTACTGTGGCAGAAAGATAAATGGCATTTCTGTGTGCTCTGGCTTCCGTCACAGTGTTCCATTGCGCCAGAAGTGATTTAGTCCTGCTGGCCACATGACCCAGAAAGCTGCCTATGGACAAACATCGGCTCCCTCGGCCTGAAGCGAGATGAGCGCTGCACCCCATAGTCACCTAACTGTCCAGGGGTCATTTACCTTTTACCTTATTTTATCTATTTGATGTGCTTCGAAGATAGATACATGCCTGTGCTCTCAATTTGTACCTACCAAATTGCTGGAACATAAATTAGAATGCTAATAACTATGAGCCCAATGTTAGAAGCTAAAAAAATGTGATTTCTCTCTGATATTACAATATTCTAGTGTCGGTGGGTTCATTGTGATTGTATCATTCCTACCTCTTAGGTTCTGCTAGTAGCAGAGGCCACTATATTTAATCAGCCCTTAGGTTTGATTTAGCAGTAACTAACTTTCTGCAACATTTCTCAACTGTTATCCATGGAGTTTGTGCTAAAAAAGAAAACTATTACTTGTTGAAGAGTTCATAATAGCATTGTCCTGGTTTGGGGGACAATTATGTCACTTGGATCTCTGTGACATCATAATTAGATTCTGTTGCATAATTCAATCTGATCTGCAGTCCTTATGCCCGTGACCACCTCCAACTGCAGTTACAGATATTTTCTTTGCCTTTTATATCAAAATTGTGGCATTTGTTTAGATTTTGTTGTACAAAGACAGTTCTCATTAATGTTATGAATTGCCCATCTGTTATATAGTGGACAAATCCTGCTATAGATGTTGCAGCTTGCTAATTGCCCCCTTTGCCCTTGATGTATCGAGAGACTTTCTGTGGTATTCAGTTTTTTTTTTTGTCATATAAATCAACGACAATCAAGCAGAAACACACAGCATCATCTCACTTTGAAAATCTAGAGTTATGTATACGAAGATTTTATAATAGCTAATGGTAACAGTAATGATAACGGCAAATGTCGTTTTCTCATATCGGTGTATCCTCCCAAAATAAAAATGATGTTGACTCGTGTGTTCTATTATCAATATGTTCCCATCAACAGACAAGTCCATTCACTATTGTTTCAACTGAGTAAACAGTGGTGAAAGGGTCAGTCATATTCACAGGTAATTGTTAGTGTGGAGACAGTCCTGTCAAGCGTGTTAGCTAAAAATACATCCCACACTGTCACTTTGCAAGGTGTTTGAAAATAATAGCCCAGTTGCAGCTAAACAGGACACAGGATTGTGTCGTGACCTTTCTCTTTGTTTAAATTGCCTCAGAGGTTTAATTTCAAGGGACAGGCAATAATTGAATATGTCTAATAACTAAATGCTCATATGGGACAAAATCCATCAAAATGTAATTGGCATTTGATTTTTATGAAAGGAGAAGGAATGACTTTATAGCTATAGATGCATCTTTAGACTATCTGATCACTTAATGTATAAACCGAAGTGTATTTTAGAATATGTACTAATTGCAAACACTTAAAAAGCATTTCTGCATATATATTTTTAGGCGGCCCACTAGCAAAGACCAAATGTTTTCGTTAATGCTACTCTCAGAAAGGCGGGGAAGGTTATTGGTCTGTCGTGCAATAATTTACTCCTCTTTGATATGCAAACGATCCACGGTGAATATAAAAAAAATCCTATCAGACTCATTTCACAGTTCTTAACCACTTAGATTCTCTGGAGTCTATCGCCTCATTAGACCAGTGCTCTCCAAAGCTAGCATAATTAAAATCTTTAACAGTTTAGCAAAGTAAAGATGTTTGGCTGATCACGTTGAGATGATTATCTAGCCATTGTATTCTAAATGACAAAAATAAATTAAATTTAGACCTTGGCATTTTTTATTATGTGTTTCAAATGAATATATTGTATACTGTCTTTAATGCCTTAGGTTTGGTAAGAGACATGTCTGTTTCAGACACGGATGTATATTTTAAAAATGGCAGGTTCTCCTCCCCACCCTTGAAAAAAAGCAAGGATAACAGAGTACAGGTTGAAACAAAGCAGTTGCATCCATTGACACCTAGACTTCCAAGTTCTTCAAAAGAAATCAGTTAATTTTATTTTTGAAAACATGACTGATTCTACATGCTTTTAAAACTTAAAACTCCATCTTGTCCCATATGCACATGCCAGTCTACAACAGTAGAACAAACTACTCTCAGATTTTGGCATGCATAACCTTTATGGGATGTCATATTAAACTGTAATTTCCTCAAAATATGAAGTTGGTGGCATACACCATTTTGAACTTACCTTGTTAAACAGTATTTCTTCTTTTTAAAAAAGTATGTTTTTATTTCACTTCCAATGGCTCATTAGCACTGATCAAGAAATGACAGTAATAATAATAGTGTTACTTATATAGAAACTTGCAGGGTTTTTTAAGCTAGACACATCCATCAATTAACTGAGCAGTGCTAGAAACCAAAATTAATGAGAAAGATAGGTGTGTTAATGAAATAATCATGGTATAATCAATTTGACTGTTAAAATTCGAAAAGCATTTCATGAAGACAATGTGAATTCATAATTTATGTCTAAAAGTGATTAATAAAAACTGTATTTAATAACAAAGCTATTTGTCATCATTTACAACTTAAGCACAAAATTAGTACCATTGTGGTTCATGTTGTCATAATAACACAGATGAATAAATTTATTTTGAAGACCTTCCTTGCTTCTGAAGAGAGGTTAAAATGCATCTGTCGCCAAGTCTCTTAGAAAATGAAGCACCATTTATTTAGATTCTCCTTCAGAAAGCAGCCAATAATTGTTTTGCAATATAAATCTTGCAAGGAAAACCTCAGTTGGAACTTTACTTCCCATTGTGATGAAGAGAATGGGCCTATCAATAATACTGTAAAAGGTTCTGTTTTAACTAGTTTCCACTCTCTCAATATATATTCCCCCAGGAATTGTATATGTTGAGTAAATTGTTTGTCCTGTGTCCCAAATAGCTTGACGTAAAGCATGGAAGGTTGTTTGTGCATTAAGGCCTAAAATCATAGGTGACAAGTAATGAGTCTGTAAGGATATTCAAGAAGCTGTGCCATTTTAATGCTGACAGTGACTGAGCTTGTCACAGGGCTGAAGTGTATTTTTTTGGACCCAGTACAAACTTACAATAGGGTCTCTTCACATACATAAACCAACATCATCCCATACATACATTCTCATTAAATAATATTTCTGAAATGAGTGTATGACTGCAAACCATGTATAAACTCACCAATTCACTTCAAAGCTTTATTTTTTTCCTGGTCCTTGCTAAAAATCATGAATTATCTCCCCAAAGCCATTTTGGTTTGCAAGTTCACAATTGATAAAATAGCTAGGTGGCTTGACTGTTCTTTCCCATAATGCATTTTTGGATGATTGCAGGCTGTAAATCCCTGCCCCCAGCCCCCCCCCCCCGTAGCCGTAGCACTGCCACCTGTTGTCTGGTAGATCTTAAGAGAGAACGCCACATGAGGAAGCACAAATCTCTCTGTATCGAAAAGTCCTAGCTTAATTGCACACAAAAATGCCACCTCTGTTCTAGAGAATGTCATGGGCTGGCAGCACACTATTCTGAATGTAACTTGTTCTGCTCTCACGCCAGCAATTCTCCTAAATCTGTTACATTCACACATACAAAAATGTTGCTGCTGTTGTTGTATTGTGTGTGTTTTTAAAAACAGTTAACACTTCTGTTGAGACAACTTCTTCAGCCATTAACCTAAATGGTCACCCATTGCTCGGTCCCAGCTCCTGCCAACCTAGCAGTTCGAAAGCACACCAGTGCAAGTAGATAAATAGGTACCGCTCTGACGGGAAGGTAAACTGCGTTTCCATGCGCTGCTCTGGTTTTGGTGTTCTGTTGCGCCAGAAGCAGCTTAGTCATGCTGGCCACATGACCTGGAAGCTGTATGCTGGCTCCCTTGGCCAGTAAAGCGAGATGAGCACCGCAACCCCAGAGTCGTCCGCGACTGGACCTAACAGTCAGGGGTCCCTTTACCTTTAACCTATCAATCCACCAGAGAGCACTTTGCTCAAGGCTCTCTAAAACATGCAGCCAGCCCAGGTTGGTTGACTCATTGGACTTAAAAGTATTGCATTATTTAAATGTGAAAGCTCATCATGAAGTGATAAAAAAATAAAATAAGGGAAATGCCATGATTTTCTTTCCTTATGTCTGAGCCTTTCATATTCCTGTATTCACATCTTCAGTGAGGACTAGAAAAAGCCTTTAAAAACTATCTTTTGGCTTTTGATGTATTGACTGCAATGGGACCTCCGTGTTGCCCGCCTTCCAGTTTACCATAACAGTGAAGCCTACCTAACTAATCAACCGCAGGGACATGCAGTTTGTGGGAAACGTTGACTTGGCAGGCAGCATTACTATTGCTCCAATTCAGTGCTGTGTATGTGGCATTTATTACTTGGTCCTTGGAATTTGAAAAATAACCTCCCAGACTAGGTTTTGTTTTCCGGCTTTGATATTAATTACTGTTTGAAGATGGCTAAATTAGCTGTTAATTAATTTCACTATTCAATTTTGTTTCAGGCATGATTCCAAATGAACTGCAGCAACTCTGGAAGGAAGTGACGGGTTCTCACACAGCAGAGGAAGCCGCAAGCAACAACCACAGCAGTTTGGACCTGTCGACAACATGCATCTCCTCCTCGGCCTCCTCTAAGGCCTCCTTAATAATAAACTCACATGCCTCAACAAATGGACAACTATCAGTCCACACTCCTAAAAGAGAGAGGTAAGTGCTTCTAGAATTCCTCCTTATCTCCGCCCAGAGCGGCATATCTTTACTGTGGTGTTTGTTTTATTCATGCATATGGCTTCTGTCACCTACATACAAGGGGGGAAATGGCGTAGCGTATGGAGAAGGACCATAGCTCATCAGTAGAGCATTTGCTTTGTATAAAGAAGGTCCCAGGTTTGATCCCCAGCTGGGACATTCTGGAGATCTGCTGCCAGTCAGTGGTGGACAGTACAGTGATACCTCGGGTTACAAACGCTTCAGGTTACAAACACTTCGGATTGCAAACTCCGCTAACCTGGAGTTGAGAACTTTGCCCCAGGATGAGAATGGAAATTGCGCGGTGGCAGTGAGAGGCTCCATTAGCGAAAGCGCGCCTCAGGTTAAGAACGGTTTCAGGTTAAGAATGGACCTCCGGAATGAATTAACTTCGTAACCTGAGGTACCACTGTATTGAGCCAGAAAACACTCAGTATAAGGCAGCTTCCTGTGTTTCTATTAATTCAGCAACTTTTGAGTGTGTAAGCTAAGAGTTAACTTCTTGAGTGTTGCATAAATGTTACTGCTGATACCCCTGGACTCATGAAGAGTATTTGCTGACTTAAAGTCACTAATCTTTGTTGTGTCTTTGAGTTGGTTCCCCAAACACATTTTTGTCCACATGAGCAGTTCTGACTTGTGTTGAGGTGCTCGCTTTCTAAAGAAAAATGTAATATATGATGGTGGTAATTCTGGATATAAGTGATCCTGCATTCCACTGATTACGATTGGTATGTGCTACAGCATATGACATAACCCATGCTCACATGGACAAATGTAGCAGGAGTGTATTCAGGTATTTGTGCAATCACACAAGTTTATGTTGTCAAGATCTCATTATTTTGCAGATGCCAGTTTTAATGTATATTGTTTCCTTGTGGTACCTGGGAAGCAATTTCTCAGAAATCTCTGTTGCTGTTTGTCTGTCAACTGGTTGTTGGTTCTTGAGAAGCAATTTGGAAGGCTCTTTATCTGGACGGTGTGATTGCAAATTGCTGTCCAAAAGGGGTCATGTGATTGTGATGTAAAGTGATTGGCAGGTGGGCAGCCCCAACCACATGTCAAATTAGGTTGGGGTGGTGGTGCAGATGAGTATCTGGCCCATCGACCAGATCCAGTTCCCCACCTCATGATTTAGCTACTTCAAATTTCACACTGACTTGTATGCCCAAAAGGTATGGTGTTTGAAAACTGCTGCTGAACTCCTTAAAAATCTAGAGCAACAAACATAGCACCTTAAAAACAGAAACAACAACCCTTCTTGTTCTAACATTTGCTTTCCCTTTTGTGGGTCGTCCTTCTTAGGATGACATTTAGGTACATATTGGGGCTGTTGCCTCGGTCTCTCTGCTTCTTTTGTTTGTGTGAGGGCCAAGTAGGCGCAGGCCCTCACACAAACACACCCACCGCCTTTGTTTGGATTCCCCTGCATCTAATTGCCACTCATTGTGCAGTACGAGATGCTGTTGCAAAAAGTCCCCCTGAGTTTCAGAAATGGGTTGTCAACTGGGGAATGTGGGGTGAGGTCTGCTTCTGGAGGAGATGGCTAGAGAAGGCCTCCCTATTCAACAAAGCTCTCTCGCTGTGCCATTGAGATCCCAGCCATGATCTTTCGTGGCCCGGTGATGACGACAAGTGTATGTGTCTATGTTGAGAAGGATCTTTTCCTCTCTGGAACTTGATATGCTTAATAATCAAAAGAGAATTAACTATTTTACTTAATTGCCTATGCTCACTAATTTGTAGGTGACTGGTTGTTGTTTTTCCTGGCCAAAGTTTTTCCTAGTCAAGTGATTTGAATTTTTTTTGGTAAGGCAAAGCATATAAGCACATCTTGTGCCTTGCTTACATGAAGAAAACAAAGCTGTCATGTATAGATGCAAAATACTTAAGAACATTTTTTTGAATTGAGATATTGTCATATATAGTGTCTGTTACTTAGACAGGGAGGACTTAGTCCTGTTGTTGTTGGTGTACATTTGTGCATGTCTGTCAAATGAAATATGTTTGCTGTAGCACCAGAAGACTGAGTTTTCTTGGGAGGATGAGATGTACGAAAAATGATCTTGGCTTCTTCCAACTTATAGAAAAAGGGGAGAGAGAATCGTAACACATTGTGTGTGTGTGTGTGTGTGTGTTCGCGCACGCACGCACACACACCCTGAACTTTAAAGACTAAAGGCTGTGCACTGGAATAAGTGTTTCTGTGGCATATATGAGTAATGAACAGCTTAAAGCCAGAAATGGACTACACTTGGCAGCATATGTGTGTCTTTTTGCTTACATTCTGTGCCCGCCGAGCCACTTTCTTCTGTGGCATGTAGAATTCAGTTTGTTCACATCCTACCATACAGACTGCAATATTTTAGTTTCCAACAGAACATAGGACTGGTTAACAAAATTGGTGTGCTCTTTGCCTCCCTGTGTAGGACTGTCTGGTCTGGTTCACGTGTAACACTAAACCATGGTTCGACACTATGTGCATGTGCTAGAATAAGCCAAAACCAAGCCTTCACACTTTGAGGAGTGGGTTGTAGACACTGTTTTTGTACTGATAGAATATTAACGTCATATGTGCTAGATACGATGTTAGAACAGAAAATTGGCGGTGGGTGGGAGAGGAGAGGACAGGAAGACAGGGGCTCCAATCAGGTTCGGACTTGCTCCTTGAGGAGGTCCTTGCCTGATGCGACGACATATCCGAGGAGCAGCCCATGGAAGAAATAAAAACGGAGGATGACCATATCAATTTAAAAGTAGCTGGCCAAATGGATCAGTGGTCCAGTTTAAAATAAAACAGCACCCACAACTAAGTAAACTAATGAAGGCCTATTGTGAGAGACAGGGTTTGTCAATGAGACAGATTAGATTCAGATTTGATGGACAACCAGTTAATGAAACAGACACACCTGCACAGTTGGAAATGGAAGATGAAGATACTATTGATGTGTTTCAACAGCAGACTGGTGGCATGTGCTAAATATCCTGTCCTTTTAGGAAGAGGAATGTGAAAATCCAACTCACTTTATCATTTGTCCTTGGATTTGCTATTAAATAGTAAACAAATGAACATGCCAATCATACAGGCATCTTCTCATGTTCTGAAGACATTTATCCAAATTCTTTTCCTGTCCCTGATCTACTGTGTGTGCAAGTTGAAGCTGCATCTGTGGAAAATTACTGCTTCATAAAAATGGGCCAAGTCAAAATTAAATTTTCAAATACTGGTTGTTGTCTGCTGTCATCTTGTTTCTATAAATTGGTGGCCTAAATACGAGGCTACTGTGAAACAAGGATACTTAGTCCTGGCTTTCATTGTTTCTGTTTTAATGGTTAATTATGTAATGTAAATATTGAAATTTCTTTCCTTGCAATAGTAAGTTTCTCCTCAGAACAGTTGGGTTGAGAAGGAAAGGATTTTACCATTAAACACAGGTATTACTCTAAAATTGTTAATGGGATATACAGAAAGGACAGTACTTTCAGATACATGCTTAGTGACAGTTTAAGCTTTAAGGTGATGCAAATGTACACGTGCTTTTTCATAATAAGATAGCATAGAATAAAATATTTTTTAAAGAAAAGAGAAAAGAACAGGAAATTGGCACTGTTGGCTTTTATGTGTAGTCAAGCCAAATGGTTCAGTGATATTTCTTAGAGCTGCAGCAGAATTTGCCTGTTTATACTCCATGCAGAACTGCTTTGCAAAAGTTGGTGACTTACTTGGATCTGCTTTTAATGGACATTTCCTGATTTTTGTGATCTGTTCTCTGTATAATTGCACGATAGTAGGTTTTTGGGGTTTTTTTAGGAATGTAATATATCCCTACATGTTAAATTTGGAACCTAACATAGTTGCACAATTTGTTTTTAATGGAAACTTGTCTGTCAAATCGAAAAGTTGGGGGGGAAATGCTGCACCTTAAATTGTGCCTCCAAAGCATATTCTTCATTTTAAAATTCACATGTAATAACTGTTGACACTTTGCCATTTGTGATCTACTAGAGTACAGTGGCTTGAAATCAGCTTTGGAAGAAAATTTGAAAACAAACTTTGTCCCAATTCTTTATTTTATTAAACTAAAAAATAGTAATGCATCCTTAACCTCTAATGAATTTTGTAATACACGTGCACAGTATCATTTATTAGTGTACAGTAGAACAATTCTTTAAAAACCCTTTTTTGAGTCCATCAAAATATAAAAAGATAAATGGCTCAGAGTGGAACAGGGTTCAAGCTTTTGGTGGCTTCCCTTCTCTTTGGCGCATTTGAGGTTGGCACCATCAGTTTGCAACAGCATGATTGAATTACCTCTGTCCATAAGAAGAGGAGGCATAGTATGTGCTGAAGAATGCCGACTAAGGCACTTAAGGTTTCTGTTGCTGCTTTGTCAGGCAATGTGGTGCCTGCCTAGGTGTCATATGACACATAAAACTCTGCTTGTTTAGATGTTTTTCACCAGCTTTTTATTTATTTATTTGTTTTAAACAAAGAATAATTCTGAGTATTCAGGGAAGCAGATGAAGGTTTGAGAGAGAATGCTATCTAGGGTACAAGGGGCGTGTTTGTTTCAGGTAACCTTATCTGAATACGAAGCTTCTTTTGAAAAAACAGGACTGGGAAATATTTCATTTTTAGTAGTCACTATAAAATATTTAGGAGCAGTTTCACTGCAAGATTATTTTTTTAGTATGAATTGACATTTTGAGTTTAATTTAACTTAATTTACCTATTTCATATTTTAGTTTGAGCTCTAAATATATATTTTGTTTTAAATGAACAAGATACGGAAATATACAGGTTGTATTTAAATGCCCTCCTTTTGCCCATTTACTCTATTCTCCAATCATAGTTTTCTCCTGCAGTAATGTTACCATGGAAGTCTCTGATAGTGAATCCTGGAAAGTTCACCTCTTCTTGGTCACTGTTGCCCCCATTTTACAGACTGAGAATTGAA